AAGACTTATGTATTGTTTATGTCTGAACTTTCCATTCAATATCTTTGCACCACAATTGATCTCAGGTAACTGAAACCAAGGAAGTGGAACCAGGGATCAGGCGGGACCACTGTAGCTGTAGAAGGTGAAGGGGAGGGACAGCCAAGGGTGACTCGCAGCTTTCTGGCTTAGAAGCTGGGTAGGAGGGGATGCTTTTTCCTGAATAGACAATACAGGAGGAGCAGAGGAACAGGGACAAGAATCTAATCCAACTCCAAGATGTACGCCTTGATCTACTGCACACACACACAGTGGTCAGCGAATGACAAAAACTCAATGTAGGAAAGCAAAGAACGGGCTGCATGGAGACATTGTCTCCCTAGGATGCTAGAAAGGGGCCCCAAGGATATTATTTCTACCTAATGAACTGTGGGGCCAAGCCTGCTGCAACATGACTCTGGGCCACACCTGAAAAACGAGGCAGAGACTTGGCCAAACAAAGGCATCGTCATCAGTGAACCCATCCATGGAGCCACTGTTGCCAAAAGGAGGGAACTGAGAGTGATGCCTGGGGAATTGGAACTGCGGGAAACAGAAACTGAAAGGAAACCAATCCAGCAGGGCCAGGACTTGGGAAGCAATGAGGACGCGAGCAGAGCAGGGCAAGGCAGTGATGCTGCAGAACATGAATTGTTCATCCAGAATCCCCTGTACTCATGGCTGGGACGCTCTGCTGGATGGAGCTGTGGCCTCAATGAGGCTGGAATGAGCCAGAAAGCTAGGACACAAGTCAAGCCCCTCTATGCTGACGGATCCACCATGTTGACTGCTGGCTACTTTGTCACCACCGCCTAAGAGATCTTTGGTGATCGATCCCCAGAGATCTTGACCTTGACACCATGGCCTTTCTGATCCTTACCTTCCTGTTAGTCTTTCAGCTCAATGGGACTTGGGCATAGCACGTACTGCTAGTCAAATCAGTGATTTATTCATTCATTCACTAAATATTTATTAAGCTCCACTATTTGTCAGGCATTGTGGTTGTCATTGGAGAGCTACAGCTAAATAATACACACAGGGAAACATAAAACTGACCATTGTTATGTGTGTGATAGATTCTATCTACATGTGCAAATCATTTCACCTGGGAACAGCAATTTACCACCTAGGAAACTTCTAAAACCTTTCAAAACCAATTCAACCATCATAAAGCTCTCTCACATTATTCATTCAGCATATATATAGTAAACACATACTCTCCGTACAAGTATGTTTTTTTTTGCATTTTGAGTAAAAACACATATGACAAAAGGCCATTTCCTGGTTTTAAAACTGAGATAGAAAATCTTACATGTATAATTACTAAGTAAAAAAAATTTTTTTAAAGATTTTTATTGGGGAATTGGGGGAAGGGGAACAGACAAGTTGCTGTCCTTTTGTTCTTCAGTCTAGTTGTGGAGGACATTGCTTCACTGNGACAGTCATGCAGAGCTTCATGGTCTCGGCAGAGGAGAAGCTTTCACACAGTTCAGACGACAGAACCAAGATGCTTCAGAACCCGACTGTGTTCTGTGCTGACACTGAGTTGGGATCGCTTCTTTATAGGAACTCTGAGGACTGGGCCAGAGGTGGGGGCACAGGAGGATAAGTGGAATTTCCACGGGAGAGATGATGTCATGGTGCCAATGAGGAAAGTGAAGCTAGCTGAGAGTAGGAGCTCTGCACAGCTTCTCTTCTGCGGACGATGTCATCGTGGTGGAAAAAGAGGAGGTAGAGAAATGAGTTGCGCCACAGAGGGAAGTGGTACACCAAGGGGAGTGACCATGATCGAGACCGAGACCGAGAAAACAATTGTCAACCCGAGAGGAAGGATGAAACATTCACACCTGCTACAAGGGGCTTGTTGATGACAACCATGTTGCTCTTGGTGGCTGGCACCTCCAGAAGCTAGAGACTTCATGTCATCTTTCCAGAGTTACCAAAAGCCTGGTCTCAAGATGGAAGGAGGAACCGGGACTCCATGTCCCATTGCTGGGCCTCCTTCTGCTGGGCTGAGTGACTGTGGGGTCTTGTATGTGTCCTTGGGCTTAAGAGTCCAGCATTGCATGTGCAGAAGGACCCAGCAGGACAATAATGTTTGACTTACTGAACATTTGCTCTGTGCCAGGCACTGGACGAGCTCCCTGATACACATAACATCAAACCCTACCACAACCCTGAGCAAGGGAGGGATTATTCCCCTGAGGCAAGAAGGATCAGAGAGCAGAGAGTTCACTGATAACCTCAAGGCNGGGCCAGTGAAGCGACGTCCTCCACAACTAGACTGAAGAACAAAAGGACAGCAACTTGTCTGTTCCCCTCCCCCAATTCCCCAATTAAAAAAAAATTTTTTTAAAGAGCAAAAATAAAAGAAATAGAGACTATTTCAGAAAATTCATGTTGTTATAATCATCAGTTGTTAGGATTTGGTTTAAACCCACCAACAAGACATGATATGAATTTGGCTGAAAGTCATTAGGACATGGTCTAAATTTTTTGAAGAGAAAATTACATATATAACTCATTATAACACAATGTGGTAAGTGCTGTAATCATGGAGGTAGATAATAAGGTCCATTTTCGAAAAGTGATTGCTTCAGCAGTTTCCATTTCCTTCTTCTGGCCCTCCCCAACTCATAGAAGCCAGCTCTCAGAAACTGAATCACGAGTATGATAGGGGTTCCCCGCAAGAAGTAAACAAGGGATTGCAATTCAGGGTATCAACTGAGGGCTGGAGCAGAGGAGGTGGGGTGAGGGTGAGGCGCTGATGGTGATCTAGACTTTCCATTGAAACAAGTGATTCCTTTTTTGGAATTGACAGTAACAAAGCAAGACACCTGGATGCTAAAGCCTCAGAGAAACCTGCTGTTGCCCCTGATCTTGTCTTTGCTTTGCCTCCCTCACAACCAGCATTAGCAATCATAAAGGTGGGGCAGAAACACAGCCCATGTGTTTTAAGAGAAGTCACTCGAAAGACACCAGAAAAGAGGATTCCAAACGTGTGGTCCCACTTTGCTTATGTCTTGTTTCCTCCATTGTTTTCATCCATTTGGGGAAAATTCAAAGCCCTCTTGGATTGGCCACAGTTTGGCTTCCCCATCCATATTTGCTCCACCACGCTGCCGCTGCACTGAGCAGCTCACTCCTCCTCCGGAGCCAGCAATTTCACACCTATGACTGCATCCGCTGGAACTCCACTACCACCCCATCTGTGTATGTTCAAATCCTGTGTAACTTCTAAGGCCCAACCAAAACGCCATCTCTTCCAAGAAGCCTTCCCCTCCCTCCTGAGGGAGGTCATTGCTCCCTCCTCCTGTCGTTCTGAGCTTTCATTTATTTTTCCCCTGAAACCTTGGTGCTTTCTGCTAAGTGGCGTGGTTACCTATTTATACACTTTACCTGCCTCTACTAGACCAGGACCACCTAGAGGACAAAGACCGTTAAAAAAAACTAAATCTACTTCGCATTACAAAATGTGATTTATGCTTATTAATTATGTAACAATAAAATAATAAAGAATGAAAAAGAAAAAAAAACATATGGATCTGAGAAAGTAGATCCTTTCATACCACTGAAATTATGAATTGAAAAGAGTAGGAAGAGAAAACTGCTTTGAATTTGGCATATTTATGTAAATATCATACAGGGTCCTTAAAACAGTTCAGAAAAATGGAAATCAAGACTTCATTTTAGCAAAGAGCATTGGACAGAAACTTTAATATATTTCTCAAAAATGTCTTGCACATCAAAATTAAACAATTGACAACAACCTGCTTTCCAACCAGTGTTGTTGTAAATGTTTCAAAACAAAATGTGTTTGTAAATTTGTGGGCTGACAAGAAAGGTTATACACTCTCACTTTAAAAAAATGAGAAAATTCCAGAAAAAGTGGAAAACAAGAAAATTAATCATGCATAGACCTAACACACATATGCAAGTACTGTTGATGCTTTTTTTATTTATTGCATTTATTGCCAATGCTTTTTTTTTTAGGCATAGCACTTATATACATATAAATTATATATGTATATACATATATATATATAATATGTGTGCACACATATATATTTGTACAATTCTTCATCTTGTACAATTTGTACAGTTTTTCATCTTTATAACTGATGTTATTATATTTATGCTACTTCAGTTTAGGGGCCTAATAATAAACAAGCCAGTGGACATACCATAATTTACTTTATCATTCCCTGATAGATGAAAATTTAGGTTTCCTAATTTTAGAGCTACAAATGGTGCTGGGTCAGATGTCTTTATGTTTGAAGATGCCTCCATATTTAGGTTTGTTCCTTTAGAACTCTTTCCTAGAAATGTGTCCTTTTAGGTTAACGTGTATAAATATTTTTAGGCTCCTGACATATTAACACCCACATCTAATTCCTCTTTATGACCTTCAACTTGTGTTTAACCCAGTGACCCTTGTCACTCAATGACTACTTGATGAATGGATAAATGACAGAAACGTGACTCATGCTTTCTAGTCCTCTAGCGGAGATTCTTTAATTCAGTGTCTTGCCTTTAAGAAAGGCTGTGGCACCTTCCACGGCATCATCTCATCTACCCCATCTGTGTGGTTACAGCCGAGGAAGCACAGAAGTTCCAGCTCTGTGGAAAGGGCAGGGCTGGAGAGTTCAGGTACCAATCAGCTTCTATGGAAAGGGACCAGCTAAGAATAGGCCTGGGTCAACCACACTCTTCTCTCCTCCTGCTCTTGGGGGAAACAATTGCCTCACAAGAAACCAGAACAACTCATGAGTTGCGGGCTGAAACTTATAGCTCAGAGAAGCTATTCTTGGATATCCTGAACTGTGGTCTCTTGGGACCCTGAGTTGTGCAACGCTCAGCGTGACAACACTGCTATGTTTAAAAATTTCCCTCCTCACCCCCAGATTCCATTTCCCCATCCATAGGGCTGCCTATAAAGAGCAGAGGAGATGGCTTTGTGCTCCAGAAGGACACAGCCAGCAGTGAGTGCCCACTCCCATCTCTGCTCTCCTGCTACTCGAGCCCACCCGCCACGTGCTCAGCATCATGAAGGTTCCCGGGGTTGCCCTTGCCGTCCTCTGCACCATGGCCCTCTGCAGCCAGGTCTTCTCTACACCATGTAAGTCTGCTCTGGGTGTCCCCACTCTCTGGCCACGCTCAGACCACATCTATCTTTACTTGTGGTCTTGAGAACCGCCAAGACAAACTAGACCTTCTTAAAGGGTTACATACCAACTTTGCTTTTTTCTTATAAAGGGTTCTTAGCTAGCCTACTCCCCATATCTGGGTAGAATAGGGGATTATCAGTTCCATTTTACAGGTGGCAAAACAGGGACCTAAGGAAATAAGTTTGCAAGAGGCAGAATCCAAGTCTAGTTACCTCCCACTGGTGTCATTCTTCCACTAACTCACCCTAGGTCACCCCAAGAGTGCTGTCCATTGGATGTGTTAGGAGAGATGGCCAAAGTTTCTTTTTTGCTGGGGTATGGCTTCTTGAACCAGACAAAATTTCCTGAAGGGAGACGAGATAAGAGAACAGTCTGTTTGGATGTCTGGCTCACGAAGGGAAAGACAGCACCCACAATGAAGAATCAATGAGAAAGAAGGACATAGACACAAGGACAGTGATAGGGATATTTCTAGGCAAAAAATGCCCAGTGACATCTAGTGACCTTGTCTCTCAGCCCACACCCTGAGCAAGGCTGTCTCCTCCATGTCATCCTCTCTCTCTCTCTCTCTCTCTCAGGGACTAGATCTCAGATCTCATCTTTTCTTCTTGACTCAGGCTCATTCTGTCCCTTCCTCTACAGTTAGCGCTGACATCCCGACCTCCTGCTGCTTCACCTATATCAACCGGCAGCTTCCACGCAAATTCATAGTGGACTATTTTGAGACCAGCAGCATGTGCTCCAAGCCCGCTGTCATGTAAGTGTCAGTCTTCCCCAGCACCTCTGGGGAGATAGAGACGGTGTGAAGTGGAGGCAGTGCCCAAGGGCACAGACAGGCCACAGGTGCGATCCTGGGAAGGCCCCCTCCTCCAGGACATCCTATCAAGTATGCAGGACCCAGGTCTCTAAGGTGTGACCTAATCTGGCCAGGGGCTTGCAGAGTCAAGGAGGGCTGGCCCAGCCCAGAGGGAAGGGAGGGGAAGGAGAAGATGGCAGCAGGGTCCTCTGAGGGGCCCCCTGAGTCAGTGAGAGCAGCTCTTAGCACTGAGATAGGCAGAGGGCCCCTGAGAGAGTGGGCAGACCCTGAGATGTCTGGGGCAGAGAAGGATGCGGGGGTCATGGAGGGCCCCGGGTTCCCCTGCTGTATTCCTCAGTGTGTAATCCTCCTATCTTCTCCACAGCTTCCTAACCAAAAAACACCGGCAGGTCTGTGCCAACCCCAGTGAGGCCTGGGTCCAGGAATATGTCACTGACCTGGAGCTGAAGCCCTCAGTGGCCTAGAAGCTTTGAGGGACCCAGTGACCTCGGTGGGCCAATGCAGAACAGGGGCCTGAGTCTCGGAAACACCCCTGTAACCTCCACAGCTACCTCTCCAGTAGATTTGCTGCCAAACGCCCTTGCTCTGGAATTCTCCCTAACTTAAAATTTAATTTATTTATACTATTTAATTTTTGTAATTTATTTTGAATGTCACAATGTATTGGGGGCTGTTTGCTCCAAGAGGTTTCAGGATACCTTTTTCACCACCTCTCCCCTCCTCCTTCACTTGCACTGTGGTTGGTGACAATTGAATGACTGTCATAAGCTTGTTCTAGTCAGAGGTGATGTCAACACCGCCAGGCTGACAAATGTGTATTAAATGTTGTTGTTCGGTGCTGTGTTCAGCCCAGAGAAATAATAAAGATGCTGTTTTAAAAAAGTAAACTGGCATTGAGTTTGGTTTTGTTTATCTGGCAAGTCAGAATCACTGGTTGAAAAGAATTATAGGCAAAGAATGAGAAGGTGTGAAAAGGAGAGAAACTGGGAGAGATGGGAGGGGGGCCACCACAGAGATACTGTGCTTTACACTGGAGCCACATTTCTGGAACATTGAAAGTATGAATGTTTTTAATCAAATTGTAATGTACACACTCTAGGAAAATTCACTACTCGAATGGACATTAAGAACCATATTCATAGTATATATATTTATGATAAATCAAGCTTTCTTAATAACAGTTACTAACATATTGAGACTTACTCTAGGCTGAGTGCTTTCTACGCAGTGGCCACTTGATCCTCACAATGAAACAGTATAGCTTAAGTACTATTAATATCCTCATTTGACAGAAGAGTAAACTGGTGCTGGGGCTCAGAGAGGTTAAGCAACTTAGCCAAGATCACACAGCAAGTAAATGATAACAACTGAGTTCAAGACTTTGATATAACTATACATTATGCTCTTAACCACTAGCCAAGTCATTTTCCAAAATGCATTCCACCTGTACACAAATCACAAGCAATGATCAGAATTTTTAGATGTGAACCAGAAATTGATATTTGTACCAAGCTTATCAGGTTTTCCATATGCATGTTAACTAAGAACTACTGAAATAGTCAATAGGACTTACCATTCTTTTCCAAATGTGGTGTATATCTGCATATGGCAACAGGTATATCATACATTATGTTCCTTGAATCCATGTGCCACAAAATAAATGGCTAATGTTACAGGGAAAGACAACCAGCCTACCCATGGCAAAGGATTCTATTTACAGGTTTACGGAAAAAGCTGAGTTATTTATTAGCTAGATTGCCTGTGTTATAGCTTAACTACAAGAAATGTCCACTGAGCTAGAGTCCTGCTTGCCAAAGAAGGAGAAATGCAAGACCCTTGTGTGAAAACCAAACATGCATAACTTTTTATGAGCCATGATCATTTCATTTTGGTTAAAATAATCTCATTTTTACATATCCAAAATTAGTTGAAAATTGTAGTAATCAAACTCCTTAGAGTACAATTAAGCACTCCTAGTAAGCAAACATTAAGATGCCCAGATACGATTTGGCCTCGATAGCATTTGCCCTGACTCCATTTCTAGGAATCTATTTTGTAGCAACCCTGCCAAAGGACAGGAATACATAGGCACAAGGATAGTCTTCGCAGCATGATTTTTTAAAAGGCAAACAAATGGTAACGACCATCAATAAAAGATTAAATCGTAGAGGATTGAGATGCCCACCAATGGAATATCCCGCAATCAGTAAAAAGGATAACACCCATCTGTGTCTGTGGAAATGTGCATATTATGTGCAAAAGGTTCATATGCATATGTATAGTATATATAGTATAGTAGAGTATATGCATATATACTCTACATGTATGCTAAAGAACTATATGCATAAAATATTATTTTTGTTTATTTTTTAAAGCCACATACACATATATATTTGCAAAGGTAAATATTTGGAAAGATACATATCAAATAGCTAACTGTGGTTTCTTAGAGTAAATGGGATTAATATATTTTTTTAATGAGTTCTTATCCTTTTTATTTCCTGCTCTCCTTTTGTATTTGACTTTTTTTTTCAGTGAGTATGTATTGCTTTACCTCTCTGGTTTCATCTTACCTTACCTTTTGATGGGTGATATTCTACCAGGCGGGACCATTTTCCGATTGGGATTCTGAGTTGACACAAAGAAGACAGAGTTCAGCTTGGCCAGTCATAACAGTCCTGAGGCCATAATGGCTTTTATATCACGAGAGCAATGTAACGAACAAGTCCTTTTGCCCAAGGCTATTGTTAGCTCAAACACGCACACACGAAGCTCCCCACCAGCAACATTTTGTAATTCCCTTCCATTAGGAGAGCCCCATTCTCTATCACCATTACCATCCACACCTGTGATAAGTGAAGGCACTGTCAGGAGAACAAGAGGAATAGCATTTGTCTTCAAAGCAGCAGTGAGGGTGTCCCCATGTCTTCTCTGTTGGCTTCCAGCATCTTAGGAAAAACAAAATCTGCTCATTTACACTGAACTGTTTCCCAAGGTCCAGCAACCCAAAGCCACACGAGAAGCTTAACCAGCTCAACTCCCTAAATATAAGTGTTGTGAACAGAGCAATAGCACAAAGACCCCTGTGAGAGAAAAGGGAGAATGGGGTTGCATTGTTGACCAGTTTATAGGGCCTTTCAGAGTCTGAGACGTGACTGAGATCCTTGGTCAGCCTCCCCGGTTGACCTCCCTGGAGACTGTCCTCTATGGACACATGTGTATGCTGGGGAGAGCCCTTTTCCAGGGGCTGCCTACCTCCTGTCCAGATAAACTCGGAGCCTGGTGTTTGCCTTAGGTGTTGAGCAATCAATGGCCATTTGGGGCTGGTCTTGTGGTTTCTTTGGCAATGAGAAGCCTTCTAAGAATCGTAGGCGTCTAATCTTTTGCTTCTGATCAATGCCATGAGCTAGATAACCAGAAGCAGAGCAGTTGTCCAGCCCTATATCTTGCATTTTAACTGGGGCTGGGAATGTGTGCTTCCCAGTACAGGTCTCAATGCTACAGTCACCCCTACACCCCACCTCCTAGCCCTCTGGTGAGAGACCTCTGCCTCCATCTTGGCTGCTGCAGAGGTGAGACAATGTGGGGAAATGATAAATATTTGATATGCCATATCTTCCCATCACCTCTACTTTACATAAGAAAGACAAATATTTCCCGGGGCGGTGGGGGGGGGGGAAGGGGGTTAGGGCCACAGTTAGACCCCAGGTTTCTCTCCTATTAAGTCTCACACCTTCCTGCCTCTGTTCACACTAACTTTAGCTTGGAGTAAAAATTTCTGCATTTGCAGCCCTTCTATATTCCAGATTGCTGGTGACAGTCGACAAGTTGGAAAGGCTTTTCTTAGCAAAGCCGATATTTTTTTTCCTTTTCTGCTTTCAGGTGAGCCCATTTCAAGGTAGTCTAAACTCTTTCTTAAGGACCTTACTCCTGGATGCAAGAAGTAGCTATTATATTCCAATATTCTGAATCTTACCTATCAAATTCCTTAATGTTGCAACCTTAGTATTTGGCACAGGACTTTAGCACTGACACCCGACCGACCGCACGCAGTTCATCCAACAGTGGCAATACCAGGTAAGAGCAGTTCTCAAAAGGTGGTGCCCAGACCACAGCACGAGCAACACCTGGGAACTTATTGAAGAATGCAAATTACAAGCCCTCCTCCCCTCGTTAGAAGGTGTGGCAGAGTCATGTGTGTTTTAACAAGCCTCCAGGTGATTCCCACCCACGCCAAACTTTAAAAACCACTTCCATTTAACAAGGTCCTCACCAGATTCCTCCTACTTTTTCAGTTCAGCCAATCCCACTTCAGTCAGAGGCTGTTACTTTTTTTTTTTTTTTTTTTTTTTTTAAGCTGAGCCATCCTGCCACCCGTTGGCAGCTCAGCAGCCGCTCAGCTCGGGCTGGGACTCGAACCTCTTGCTCAGAGCTCAAACTCTTGAGCGAGCTCTTAACCAACTGAGCCACTTGGCCGGCCCAGAGGCTGTTACTTTTACCAGACCCTGGATTTCTGCACAGATACAGGACTCTGTATTTCTCAGGATGCTGGAAGTTTCAAGGAGGAAAACAAGCAAACAAACAAACCTAACTCAAAGAGGCTTGAATAAATGAAACTTGTCACCCCTAGACGGAAGGGTACATGGTGGCTCTGACTCCTGGCAAGGCTGGACGAGGCAGGCAGCCCTGTGACACCCCTCATGTCCTAGTATCTTCTCTTTCTGATCCCCCTCCCAGGGTGGGAGTCGCAGGATGGCTGCCAGTACCTTCCAGAAAGTCCTTGTTCATTTTCTTCAGGGGAGAGAGAGGCTGTGTCCCCATTGAGAAAAAATCACTAGGTTCTTTTGGATTTGACAGACTTATGTCAGAAACCCAATTCCTAACCAATTGCTGTGCTATGGGGATATGCAATTGCTGTTTCATTAATATGCTTAAGCTAATTAAGGCACATTCCTGGATTGTGGGTTGGATGAATTTCACATAAACTTAAAGTCTGAGAATCACGGGGAAGAGTGGCTTCCCAAAGGAACTATGGGTTTCTGATATCAGGGAGGATGTAGAATAGATGCTGGTCAGGAAAAACATGTTTTCATTATAAGTGTTTGTCTTTTTCATGTGGATTTTTTTTCTTGATATAAGAACACTAACACTTGGTATGCGATGGACATTTCTTCTCCCTTGCTCTCTAGATTAGAAACAATCTTCCACTTTCCTGAATTACTTTATTTTTAAAAAGGCGCTGACTTGTCTATTTCCTGTTGCCCTACAAATGACTACTGCCTAAATCTGAGGTTAAAAAAACAACAACATTAAGCTCCTCATGGTGCCAAAGTAACCACCAGAAAATGAAACTACATGTCTGCTCCAGGGCACACTCAGTAGGGTAGAACTGGGCCTGCCACAAGTCCACCTTGCTTCATATCAGCAGAAGACAGGGGACAGGGAAAATGAAAGCACTCTCAGACTAATGAGTCATCGTTACTGATAGTGCCAGTATTGAGGAAGAGAGAGGAGACCTTTAATATTAGAAGGCCAAAGAGGTAGATGACAGGGGACACCTCATACTTGTTGCTTCTATTTTCATTCTTTCCTGGGAACAGCATCCACAAAAAATATTATATGGAATTGACCACATCTGTGGACACCAGGTGGCTCCTGATTAAAATAAGCCAGTTTGCATCTTGGGTTTTTTAAAACTTATCATTATAACATAAGCATTTCCCATGTCATTGCATTATTTGTAAAGGCTCCCTAATAGCCAACCCAGTGAAGATGCCATAATTTTCTTCACCATTTCCATATTGTAGATGATTTAAGTTGAATCTTGTTTTAAATTGCTATCAATGTGCAAGGGACCAAA